GGGCAGCGCGGAAGGCGCGTTCGGGGCGGGCAGCCCGGGCCGGGGCTGCTGCTCTGCCTGCCCCTTCCCTGGAAACCGAGCGCGGAGGTCTGGGCAGGGGCTTGGGGCTTTTGTTTCTTTGGGTTGCTTTTGTGGTTTTTTGTTTTTCGTGGTTGTTTTTTTTTTCCAGTTTTCACGCTTTTGAGTTTGCTTTTGGGCTGGTGTAAATCAGATGTTAATGCGCTGTAAATATGGCTGGTGTTTAAGTCTCAATGCAAACTGTGTGGTTTATGGAAACGTGATTATTAAGAAACTTTTTTTAGTTCAGGGAGACCTTGCAAGATGAAAAAAGTTTGGAAACTTCTTGTATATTTGTTCCTCTTCCTTTTTTACGTTTGTTTTTTCTGGTGGCTGATTTCTATGAGTACGTAGGAAAGAAGTGTAAATAAAGGTTCCTTCTGTTTCTTATGCAGCCTTATTATTTGCCCTAGATAATTAGGATATTTTGGGGGTGCAAAGGTGCCAACTGATTAGGCCTTATATCCTCAGGTGTAGTGTTTACCTTTTGCATTTAATATGTTGGTTTTAGTCTTTGAGTCATTCTTGATACTGCATAGGTTTGTGTTGAAACCAGCAGGCAAGTAAGTACAGTTTAATCAGATAGTGGGTATCACAGTAGTTCTTTCAGTGAAAAACTTCAGGATCTTTCTCTACATGTTCTCAGTAATGATGAAAAATAGCAGTGAGTATTACCATCTTACACTGCCTATCTGAAGTGGTCTCATAAATGCACCATGAGGACTTCTAACTTGGGGAGTTTTGTTTTACCATAAGCGTTTGACACACCGGTCAGTACATTACCAAGGATCCAATGGCCTTTCGTGAGCATGAAACATTGTTTTTTATTTGCTGAGGAAAAAAAAAACCCCAAACCCAGGGGCAAGGCTGCTGAATGGTGTCTTTCAGTTGCAGGAGTGGTGTGGGTATTAAGATGCTGGAGAAGGAAAAGGCTTAGACCTGGCTGAGGACCAGAAGAGGTGACAGGAGAGGTTTTGTTGGATTCCTCACCAGCTCCCTGTACCTGTGGTTCAGAATACACAAAAGAGCATAGCGGTTGCCTTGGTGAGGAAGAGGGTGATGCTAGCTCAGTGCTTTGCACACTAAATCACCTATCTGTAGGTAGCTCTCATGGTAGACCTGCTCTACTCAACTTAGGGTTGGAGCCTGTTATCTTTATCTAAATCACAGTTTCATTTCCTGCATCCAAGAGCCTTTCCTTTGGTAGGAAGTTGGGATAGTCCACATAGATGTGAGAAGGCTCAGGCGTCTTGGCCTTGTTCTTAAACTCCTCACATCGCCAGCTGGAGGGTGACTCCTTTCAGGAGTGGGAACAAGCAGAAAACCCTCCCGCTCTGGAAAGTCCAATCTGGTATGTTAAGGAGCCTTTTTTTTTGTTGTTGTGCTGGGTTGTGGCGTGGTTCTTTAGTCAGGAATGCTGATATTCTTGTATTTGGTTTCCACTGGTAGCCTTCTTCGCCGATTAGCGTAATTGCATACATTAAACAGCGCTGGGTCGGAATGAGCGCCGCAGGTTTGCTCGTCATGTTTATTTAGTGAGCTCGGCCGTGTAGAAAAATGGATCGCTGAACAAAGCGTGTGTGTGGGGAGGGGGAACCAAGGCTGCTTTGTATATTTATTGTTGAGGTGTGGAGTGCATGAGGCAGGTTGGGGAATACAGCTTTTGTGAAGTGTTATGAAAGATGCATACACCCGGGTGGTTAATTTCCTGTTCAGATTATCAGCATGATATAAACTGGAACCAGATCAAATTTGAAATAAACTTTTGTATGGAGATACTTTACCTAGCATTGGGTTTCATAAAAGCAGAACACCCAAGTAAAGGTGGCAGGAGGGGGAGCAGTATGTTAATAGAGGGTCAGATGCACCCCCAATGTACTTGCATTGACCTGGAGACATGCATAGTGCTTAATGTCTGTGCAGAATACAATGGCTTCCTAAATTTTGAAAATGTGCAGGAATGGGCCTGCTTGTGTCCAAGAGTCATTCTTCATCTGTTCCTTCAAATTAGGTGACAGCAACTGGATAAGAAGCCCCCAGGTTTCCTTCCCTCAAGCCCACAGCTGCCCCTCAACTCAGCAGGGTGGGTATGGAGCTCTCGCCCACTCTTGCTCCAGGCACCATGTTCAGACTTGGCTTCAAAAACAAATAACCCAAACCTACTGTGGCCCTGGTTTAAAATAGGAGGAAGGGAGGGGGGAATTACACTGTTTGTTAATCAGTGTCTTAGACTCCTCTGAGAACCTCATTTGACAGAGAGCTTATGTTAATAACTTGCCCTTACAGCAATTTGTAGCTCTGATGAACATGAGAATTGCTGGAGGCCTAAGCTTGCTTGTGGAAAAAACAACCTGTGCGGATTAGCTGCAGGTTTCATGGTGGCAAAAAGTGCAGCACATGTGTTAAGGGCTTACTTAGCTTGTACATGAAGTGTAGACAAACGTGAGATGTCCCCCACTGACTGCTTGCCTGCATGACATTATGTTTTTCAGAGTTGGGGCTGCTTAGAATGAGGGCTTCAGTGCTTTTCATCCCAGTTCTTTATCATTAACTTCCATCGAAGGCAGTCATTATGCTCTACTCAGCTATTTGCTTCTTTCAATAATACATAATTGATTATTGGTTACCACAGTGTTTGTTCTGGAGCAGTCTAAATCCCCAGGGTAAAAAAATTCCATTGAATTTTCACTGTTCTAATGGGAGGCTGATTTTATTTATTTATTTATTTATTTTAATACATGGGGTTTTAGCCCATCTGGATGAAGATGCAGCTTTTAACAGTGTAAGTCAATCCACTGTGAATTCTTTCAGAAATACGCAGCTTCTGTGCCCGAGCAATTGTTGTGTTGCAAATAAACATGACCTTTCAGGTCATGTTAGAGGGTGCCAGGGAGGTGTGACACTTTTCACTGATCACTTCAACTCAGAGCTACTGCCATAATCTCCTTTAAACTATGGATGTATTTTGTTAGTTATTCTATATATTGTTTAGCATATTCATTTCAGGTTTATCTTTTGGTTGGTTGGTCAAATAACTACCAGTGCAAGTGGGCCTTTGTTAGGTTTGTCCAGATATTTCTTCTGCATCACTGAAGTGTACCAGAGACATCAAACAGGGAAGAGCAACCTTTTATTTGGTTTTATTTGGTTTTAGAGGGCTGGCGCTTTTTTTTTTTTTTTTTTTCCCAGGCTGAGATTATTGTTCTGTTCATCTATCAGTTTCTTACTAAGAGCTTTCAGAGATGGAAGAATTTTGTTTATTCTGCCTGAGGAGAGATTAGAGTCCCTTTCTTCCTCTGGGACTGCCAGTCATTGTTCCTGTTTACAAAGAATGTGTATTTTTGTAGTTTTAAAAACTGTGCATTCGGGGACTGCATTGAAAACATTTCAAACTTATTTCTTATTACCTTCTGAGTGGTTTTGATTCAGATAGCATTGGCTTCTTTGAAGAAATCTATTGTCTGGAGGAAAAATCAGTTTCTGCTTTCTAACAAAGAAACTTCTGATTTCAAAAGGCAGAGCAGGATTTTTGTTGTGGTTGTTTAATTTTAACTCATTTGTGAGTGTACATCAGGGATGACCATTTGTGGAACCAGCAAGCAGAATACTCCAACCATATAGAAGAATTCAAAATAAACTTTTCTAAGCAAGATGTGTTGTTAACATTTTCTTGTTAATTTGTTGTGGTTTTTTTGTTGTTTCTTTTTGCTTCCTAGGATTTTCTATTACAAGATAATTCAAAATAGTAGCAAAGGCCCTGATTCAGCAGGGTAGCAAAGTGGTTGCCTATAATTAATTAAGTAAATAGTTCTCTGCAATATAG